CCTTTTGGGACATTAATTGAATAGCACAAATACTCTCAAAAGAAAGAAGCTGCAGTGCAAGTTTGCCCTTTTTTAATTACTCTAGTTTTACTCCCTACTTTTATGTTCTATGATGAAATGTACAGAACCTACGAAATAAGTCGTACTGGTTCTATACAAATGTATAAATACCCTTATGCACCAAAGAAAATAAAAACAGAATGTGGATTACAAAAAAATGACAACTTTTTGTGCAGTACAATACTAACCCGAACTTGCTGAGGTAGAGCACTCAATCCAAAGTCTGAAACTTTAAGAACTCCATTGGCATCCAACAACAAATTCTCAGGCTATAAATCATGAAATGAAATGAAATTAAAACCAGTCTTTTGTTGTCCCCAAAAATACAGCAATTCCAATTTTCTATAAAAAAAAAAATGAAGCAAGCAACTAAAAATAAAGTTACATCCTCACCTTCAGGTCTCTGTGGTAAACGCCTCTGCTGTGGCAGTAATCTACTGCATTGATGAGCTGCTGAAAAAATTTTCTTGCTTCATCTTCTTTCAGCCTGCCTTTAGTAGCCTGGCCTCAAAAAATGATACCATGTTTGCACTTTGTTCAAATACATCTAATCAGATTATCATACTGGAATCATAAGGCAGAAGCAATCATAAACTTACAATTTTGTCAAAGAGTTCACCTCCAGTAACGAATTCCATAACAATATATATCTTCGTTTTGCTGGCCATAACCTAGATTATGCCATATTCATCAGTCATGAAACTAAATATACAAGAAACGCATACAAAATCCACATCTCCAGGAACATCCAGCACTATATGCCTAATTATTCCTCAAGAAGTTGGCTAAACAAGTTAAATTCCAACCTCATACATGCGGATGACATTTGGGTGTCTGATTAATTTCATGGTGGAGATTTCGCGCTTAATCTGCAAGTTAAATAACATTAAGATCAATCAGAAATGTTTTAACTATGTCAAAGGTGGGGAAATAAAGAAGCATAAGAACAGAGATACACCTAGGCAACTATGGGAAGTGCCCAAAATAAAAGACCTGTGGAACAAAACTTTAAGAAAATTCATTCCATTGTGATCAGCTTATAATTGAGATTTAATGGAGCAGCTGTAAGATATTTTACAGTCACTTATCCGCATCATCCATGAGTACATCAATGTATGATAGCTCAATCTATCAAAATAAATTTCAATCATCCACCCAAATTTGTTTCAATGTTTGAGGAAATGATTTGACGCATTATATTAGTGATTGCGAACATAGAACATCATTGATAAACATTTCATTTTTCTGTTTCTTTTAGTAAGAACACCCTGATAAACATTAATCAGATACCACTAGTAATCATTCTACACTACAGATTAATGAAATGGTAAGGAAAAAAAAACATCAGTGCAAAAAATTCAAAAGTCAACGGAAACTTCTTCAGTACATAAACACAATCTAAAGCAAAACCCAAACACCAATTAAGTAAAATCCATGAAAAAAAAAGAAAAAAAGCTGAAAGTGATATAGAAGCAAGAAAATAATTAATCCAACAGTACCTGGCCAATCATTTTGTGCTTAAGAACTTTTTCTTTATCGAGAATCTTAATGGCCACATTCTCATTTGTCTCAACATTCCTTGCAAACTTCACTTTTGCAAATGACCCTTCGCCCAGCGTCCTACCCAGTTCATACCTTCCTACGCGCGTCCTCCCACTTCCGCCACTGCTACCGCCGCCTGATCTCGATGACATCGCCATGCACAAGAACTGTATCTCTCTCCTTGTATATCTCTGTGTGTATCGATTCAATCAACACTGGTGATTCTCGTGGACTACGCCGATTTTCCAATACAAATCCCATCCATTTTTTTTCCTGTTTCTTTTCCCTCCCTCTTTCTCTCTAGATAAAAAAGTTTTCTTTTCAATAATTTCAGGTTTCCTAGATTCTAAAGCCTCTTCTTTTTGCAAGGCTGCCACACCTGAGACTTCGCCACATTCATCTTTCCTTTTTTTCCTTAGAAAATTGCAAGTATAGAATAAAAACCCCAGAAAATTTTTTTTCAGATCAAGCAGTTTTAAGATATTCAACCCTACTACCAGAGAGGAAAACACAAAAACTTTTTGAAACAGAAGAAAATAACAGAGATGCCATTAATAATGATTAAGATACCAAAAAAAACTATGGGGTCCGTCTAAATTTGGATTTTAGTTAATGATTTACATACTCTTTTGGCGGCTGGAGTTGAATGTGTCGGATTATCAAGGTTAATGAGATTGGATTCAAGACTTATGAAAGAGAGAAACTTGAAGATAGGCGAGATGAATGGGACTGGTAAATGGTAATGTTTATCGGTCGTGGACTCGCAATTTTATATGATTTGTTTAATAATAATTAAAGATTAATCAAAGAGGGAATAAAGCTTGTAAAAATGAACAATACTAGAGATAATTGAATGATCACTAAATTTTATTATACGCTTCTACTTGCTTACCAATCTTTAAAAAGTTACACGTCGCTCATTTAACTTTGCTATGAATTAATATTTACTCATCCAAATTTAAAAAATTATTTATTGTTCACCTAAATTCGAATAAAGTTACTCGTTGCTCATTAAACTTTGCAATAAGTAACACTCCTAAAAATGATATGGATGATTGATAGATAAGTACAAATTTGGATGAGTAGTAAGTAACTTTTTAAATTTCGATAAGTAAGTAATTATCTATAGTAAAGTTTAATGAGTAAAGAATAACTTTTTATAATTCGGTGAGCAAATAATAATTTATAGTGAAGTTTAGTGATCATTGATTATATTACTCACAAAAGGGGTGAATCGCATTTTAAAATTTTTATATTCATGTGAAACCCGCGTGCATTGGGAGGGTGGGGACAACTTTTGATAGATTTCATTCGATACAAATTGAATTGTCCTGTAAAAATATGCCACGATGGTTTCGATAATACAAGGAGAATATCCAACTGGCGAAGGTGTGATTGGGGTTTAAGTGGGGTAAGGTGTAATTGTCTCTAATGAGGCCTTTTTCGATCTTACAGTTGAAACCGAGAAATTTTGTTTGTACACGAATTTTCTCAATGGGTGGCACGTGGGTACATACTGGGCCCTGATCATTATTTTCAAAAAATAATATTTTAAATAGTGATATAAAATTTTTTTTTTAAATAGAAAAAAATTTGAATTCACATGCAAAATATTTTTATTGTATGAACGTGTGATTCAAAATAAATATGAAAATTAAAGTATTTTTTCAAAAGAAGACAAATAGAAATTAAGTAAAACGCTTTGCAAAGCAGTTTACTACAGTGAGTCAATAAAATAACCTGCAATTAAAAATTCAGATGATAATTTTGCACAATGTATTCTATTGATTGTTAAATTTTAAAAGATTTTTGGATGGTCATCGAAATTATCAAATAGTTATCCATTTGACCATTAAACTTTGAAAAAATTTCAGATCATCACCAAACTTATCAAAGCTTTATCTCATTGGCCATTAAACTTTCAAAGTTTTTTCGGATGGTCAGCAGATTTATTAAATCGTTATCTCGTCCACACTCAATCACTCACATTTATAAAATTCAACGAATTCACTGATGTGACAAAGTTAATCATTGATATGACACATTATTGTCCTTAATTGATGAAAAAATTAGTCAAAATCACACTTATAGAAAGTGCAATTAACTAGGAAAAAAAATACTAAATGAAAATATAGATAAACAAAGGGAAACATGCATAATGTTACAATTCAGTCATAATTTTTATAAGCGTTCTAATAGATGAAGTGTGTTTTTGCTGATTTTCATCAACTAGCGATAATAATGTGTTATGTTATCATTTTTGCTTGTTAATCCGTCGAATTTTCTAACTGTGAGTTATTGAGTGGCGAATGAGATAACAAATTAATAAGTTTGGTGACCATTCAAAATAATTTTGAAGTTTAGCGCAATGATTTGATAAGTTCGATAATCATCCAAAAAACTTTTAAAGTTTAATGACCATGAGATAACAATTTGATAAGTTCAATAATCGTCTGAACAATTTTAAAGTTTAATGGCCAATAAAAAATATTGTTAGCTTATGCAGTTATTTAGAGGTGGGATATTTTTATTCAAAAATATTAAAATCAAGTGCATGTTTCGTAAAGTTTAAAGCTTGTGTTTTGAAGTAGTAGTAAAAATAATATTTTAAGTCAAAATCAATAGTTAATTTTAACTACATATTTCATAGAATGCATAGCTTTTATTAATTTTTCAACCATATATTTAATCAAATTTTTTTTAAAATTTACTAAAAATATGATTTTTAACAAAATCAAACAGGGGCAAAATATGATTTAAATTTGTTAAATTCATTTTTTTTTATCTTCACATCTTGTATGACTCTTAATTTACTATTAACTCATTATCCATTTATTATGTAGAATTCATAACTTATAAATACTTCAAAGTTAAAAGTAATAATTTAAAGTCTTTAACAATTATCATTGTTTGTACAATAAATAGATAAATAGTTCTAGCAAAAACTTGGAGCTTCAAAGCCTACCCCACCTAGTGTCTTTCACACCAACTTCGGCAATATATCTTGTATCGAAAGTTGATCTGACCATCTGAGTGAAAATGATCAACGATTCCTTATTTGATCTCTTCATTTTGCTGCCTAATGGTTATGCTCGAGTGTCCAAATAACAATATGTAGACATGAATGCAATATGAAATCCATTGATAGTAAAACTTTTGAGTTTTTGAAATCAACATACTTAGCCCTTGTTTGAGCCCCATTATTTAGTAAAAATGGATTTTGGAATAATTATTTTTAAAAAATATGAAAAATAAGGAAAGACTTTTTATTTGCGTGTAAAATTATTATTAAAAGAATGTGTTGTTTGAAATAAGTTTGAAGAATAGTGTATTATTGAAAAATGGGGCTTAAACATTTGAAATACCCATGCGTTGATACTTATTCAAATTGAAATCTTGCAACATTACTAGTAGCATCGTCATCCCAATTAATTTTACCCACATATTTTATGGGGCCACAACTTTTTAACTACATATTTCATCAATTTTTATTAAAATTTAACAAAGATTTAATTTTAATCTCCACCAAATCGAGGCTTAACAAATATTTATTAAAAGGCAAATTACTTTTTATCCACACACCATTTGGCCATTGTTTGATAACAGTTATATAGGGAAAAATAATATTTTGAATGGTATTTTTTTAGAGAATATGTGGTTAAAAAGTAGGATTTTTTTTTTTTTGAATTTATGTGAAAATATTTTATTATATAAATACGTGGTTGAAAAATGAATACGTAAATAAAAAGAATTGTCAAACATGGGCTTATTTCTGTCGTCACATGCTAACAAAGGTACATTTTATAAATTGACAATACTTCTGTCTACGTCTGCCAATACGTCTCAAATGGTAGAACTAGAATGTGCTCGCCCATCCCACTGGCAGTAGTTCAACGATTTTATTTAATAATTATAGTCAGTATTCCTGCATTATCACAATAGATTACATTTGGTACGTAAGCTCTTATTTTGAGCCTCTTCTTAAAAAAATTCACTTTCTTAAATTCACTTTCAATCATGCATTCTTCTAATAAAAAATTTACATGTAAATTTATTTATCCTTAATTTAATCATACATTCTCTAAAAAATTAATGTTATAAAATTCATTCTACTGAAAAGTGGGGCTCAAATACAATGTAAACCAAACCTAGACAATTTATTTTATTCCTTTTGGCGATTATTTATTGCAGTCATCAATAGTTTACAGACGTACCTAGGTTTTGACTAAACTCATTAGGCCATTACCCTCCATTTTTTGGATAACGCTACACGTACACATCAAGGTGTATTCATAGTATGTACACCATTATATATGTGTAGCATTACCACCATTTTTTATGATCCAAGTTGCCGCCCTACCACTACCTCTCAATCAAGGTTTCAATTTTATCTTGTATTTTAATTATTTAATTTTCTCATTTTGTTTAATAAAATGAACGAAATGGGCCATGAACTTAAATAATGTTTTGGATGACAATAATTTTGTGTATGACATTAAAGCAAGATCGAAGAAAGAAGTGTAGTCTGAAATTAATATGAAGTGACATAATTCTGAAACATTTTATAGCATTTTGTGATTTGTATACTATATAATTTGTTTGGCAGTGCTAAAATTATGAATTGAGCAAATGTTTGAACTTAATTTTTCACAAAACTCATTTTCAATTACACAATCGATATTTAAAATTTAAAATAAATAGCAAGATTTTAGAGATTGATATTTTCAGACGTCAAAACCTTTTTACATTCATAATAACGATGTTTCTATTGAAGAAAAAAATACATAAATATTGAAAATAGAAACACTTGGCACTCTTTTAGTGCATCAAACACCAACTGGTCCAAGGTTAGAAAATGTTAATTGTATTTATTTATCTGCTGCTTCCATGCCTGCCTGCATTTTTTAAAGTTTTTTTAATACCTTATATTAATTTATGACATAAATCTTTTGTCTTTACTCACATAATTCACATTATAAAAAACAATAATGGAGAATATATTAGAGGCCTTATCTACCCAAATCACGTTACTCTCAAATAAAATATCCTATTTATTAAGTTTTTATTAATTGAATAATATATAAATATATGTAGCTCCTGTTTGAACTCCATTTCAATTAATTTATTTTTCTCTTTCCTCATTTCAATCACATATTTTATTAAAATAGTGTATTACACGTAAATTTTAAATTTTTTCTTACTTTTTAACCATACTTTCTTTAAAAAATTATTATTTTAAAATATATTTTTCTCAAATTACATTAAAATGGAGTCAAAACAAGGGCCTAATATACTTGAGTAACGATACTTGACACGGTTGAAAAAATCCTCATGGCGCACTGAGCCACCGTTTGGCCCCCATTCTTTTCAAATTTTAATTGTTGAAATAGTATTTTTTTGAAAAATATGTGGTTGAAAAAGAATGAAAATTTTTATAGAAGATTGTGATTAAAAGTAAGAGAGAAAAAAGAATCAAAAGGAGAATGGGAGCCAAACGGGATCTCAACGCGGTTAATATTGACTTAACACAAATGATCAACTGAAAATATAAATTAAAGCTCAAATTCAATGACGTCCTTGTTTCTCTTTTTTCAAAAAATAAAAAAATAAAAAAATCCAATGAGATAAATTTTCAGGTTGCGTGAAGAACAGATAAAATATTTCCTACGGCACATTTTAACAAATGGGCGAACACTTTAGTGGCTTTGTAAGACTAAGCCTTGAGACATAAGCCCCACAGTGAC